CAAGTTCAGCTGAGTTGGTCCAAATTTCAGTTGATTGTTACAGTTTTAGAAATCAAAATACAGTAACAAGAATATATTTGCTTATATAAGACCAAATATTACTATTGTTTAATAATATTGATTTCAATAGGAGAACGTTCCAATGACATGAATAAATAGCACGGGGATTTTGCCGGTTTATAGCCAGTGCAAATGTTTGCTAACTATTTAAGACAACCAGTCACTTTTCTGTAATTTCCTCCTGACTAGTTTACTTGGATGCTTTGAAATGATGTACCATATCAGTGTTTTACTTAGGCTTGGTCCAGATTTGCTATTAGTTGCTCTCTAGGCTGTTTCCAGAGAACATCCCTGTCTTCTGTCCTACCACTAGAGAAAGTCCCTGTTAACACCTATGGGTTTGTCCTGTTTAGTCTGCCCTAGCATCCTTTCTGTTGGTCTCCTGCATGCTTGACTAACAGAATACAGCTGGTATAACTTTTGCTCCATGGAGTCTGGCTGATACCAGACAGGGGGAATGTGTATGGTAACTTGGTTTGTTTATGGTGGTTGCCATTCAGACTTTATTTACTTAAAATGGCTCTTCTTGACCTATAAAATCCTCTAGAATCTAGTTCATGTTAGTTTTTGCTGACAGTATCCAGTAGAGCTGCTTAGCTTGAGTTTTAAAAAGATTTTACACAATCATGTACGCAAAAGTCACCACCTCTACTTGATTAATAATTACTTAAAAGCTATATTTATGAATTTTACATTTACACTTCATTTTAAATGAAAGGAAGTGAAGCTATCAAACGCTGTAAGTAATTTCCAATGGAAGCTGATGCCACTTTCCAATCTCTTTAAAAATGCTTGCTTATGTTGAATATTTTCTTACAAAATGTCAAAAAAATGTTAACATATTATTCGTCCAGGGTCTAGTTTAGACTGCTTTGGTGGGGTTGTACTGTAGATGGATTCACCTTCTGGATCTGATATGGAATTGGTTTATCTAATGCTATCCAACATAGGCTTAACTTGGGTTAAGCCTGAACTTGTTCATTTTTTAAAGGCACAGGGCTAGAAACCGTGACACCAGAGTTCTTGTCCCACTTTCGGCACAAAATCAGCTGGGTGACTTTTGCCAGTCATTCTGTCTCGGCCCTAGAAAGCAGGTAATGGAAAATCACTCCAAAATCTTGCCAAGAAAACACCAAGCACTTGTCCAGACAGTTTCCAGGAATTAGTACTGAAAATATATTGTGAAGAAAACGAAATAGAATATACACATCTGAACTAAGCCTTTAAAAATGGGGGCAGTTCTTAAGGTTTACAAAAATTATGTGATTTAACACTGTAAGGAGTAACCAGATCATTTAAATTACCTAAACTAGGAAGCAGATAGCCACTGTAATTAATGAGTGATACATTCTAATCCTCAACTTTCATTGTTCTGATTTATATTTCATATTTTTTTCAAACGTGGCCCTTTATTATGAATTAGACAACATGTGCCCCATTGGGTCATTTCAGAAATGTTTCCTCACCTAAGCAGAGAAACAGAATAACCAAAGGTGGACAAAAAAGCAATGGGAGCAGGAGAGACTTCTGACTTTCGGCTGACTTCCCCATGGAGTTTCCTTGTGAGAATCTGGCAGGAAACAAAAAAACTTTCTTTCCCTTCTCACAGGTAAGTAGCTGCTGCTGGGTGGGGGAAGGAAAGAGAGATGGCTGGGAAACTATAATGGAATGTTGAAAATGAAGCAAGCCATCAATTCCCCAAATTTCATTCTCTTGGGAATCATGGGTCATGAATTTTGGATGCATTCTGTAAATAAGCCCATTTGAGGTACCTTGGTTCAAAAATTGTTGCCTTATGATAGACCATTTTACCCAGTTAAACATCATGACAACAAAACTTATGGTATATATAGATAAAAGTAGTAGTAATCACATCATGGAGGCTGGATGTGTCTAGGACAAGTAGGACCAAACTACTCTATTCAAGAAACATATTACAGCATGTAATTTGCTAAAACTAGTAAACATAGTTATTACTTGAATATACAGGGGGAGTGAAGGATCTAGGACTGGGCGATGCAGTGGCGCAGTGGTTTAATGATGCTGGAACTGGTGGCCAGAACTGGTCTGCATTCTGGCAGTTTGAGCCCGGCTCTGCAAGATGGAATCAGCTCCTGTTGCTTGTTCCCTGGCTCCTGCACATCCAGGATATTGCGAGTAGATATATGGGTACCGCTTTGGTGGGAAAAATCTAGGTATATTCATGTGTACAAGAGAGCAGAAGTTAGCAAGTCGAACCCTGCAGAGGAGCCTGGAAGAAAGAGCAATCCGAGCACCACTAATTAGCTTGTGTAAAACTCCCCTCCCCCCCGCGGTGCACCAAGGATAGGTGCGCAACCGCCAAACAGAATGAACTAGCGATCTAGGTTGCCAGGACTGCATTGTATCTAGCATTTGTAGATTTCCCTGACATTGCACACCATACACTAAATAAAAATAAGGATCTAGGACCATCCACAAACCTGACTCCTTCCACAGTAGATCTTATTCTGGCAAAATATACATCTTGATTATGATCAGCAATTATGTAACACTTTATGAGTCCCATTGTTTGAATTTGCTAGGTAATGTGATTATGCAAGGTGTGATCATACATAAAACTTTCTTTCTTAACAATTTAATGTTCATTAAGTGAAGAATGGCATATATGGCATAACCATTAAAACAAATTGCTTATACCGGTATATCCCAATATTATCTGAAATACAATATTTTCATTTTCATTATTATTATTATTGTATTTCAGAATGCTTTCTGTGGATGACTTGTATAATGACAGTTGCAAGTTAAATTTAGCTAGTTAATTTGTGAAAATCATTACTTGGTGGCAGCAAAACCACTCAGTAGTTGTTTATGGAAGTGGCGGGTGAGTGTGTGTGCGTGCATCCCCACTTGCCTGAGCAGCGACCGAGCACGTGTGCACACATTCCATTTGCATGTGTGATACACATGCTTGTCTGCCATTTGCATGGAACCATCCCCTCTCCCCTCCCCCCGCTGGTCCGCAAAGTCGGAAAGTTTGGGGAGCTCTGGCCCATAGGATGCGGTGTTCATCTCTGTTTCACTGAGCCAGCACTGTCCAAAGACATTTCTGCAGTCATATGGCCAGCATGATATAACCATGAACTATGAAGAAGCAAAATTAAGCAAACTATTACAAAAATAATTCTGCTGTAGTGTTTTTTTCACTAAAGTCATTTCAGACAATCTGATATAAAATGTTGAAAAATCATGTGACAATAAATCTAGTGATTTGTATGAATATGTATGAATATTTGAGCAAGTTCTTTACGAAATATTTTATATGGCAATTTACCAAAATTGTAAATATATTGTCAGTGGAGTCAGCAACACACACACACACACACACAATTTAGGCTTACATTTTTCTTGCCATTTTTATTTTGCTTTCGTGATAAATTGCACACAGAATGGTATTTATCAACATAGTTTCCTTGTCACCCAGTATTTCATTTCTTCTTACCACTGAAGTAAGATTATAGCCTAGTCTTGCTGTTCTCCTGGTATAGTGCTTGAGTCAATAAGCAGGTATGTGGAAATTGATCTGGCAATGAGATTTGATGAAAACATAAGACACTGCTGAGTAGAGTTTATCATCTCATATTGCCATCCAATCTATATGGAGGCTGAATTTTTGATTACCAAGTTAGTTACTAGATTGTACTTCTAATTATACTGTGGAACTTCTTTTTATAGTCTCAGTTGGTTCTCTCCAAGATGATACTTTTTTGATTAATTTCTAAATACACAGATATAAGATTAAGGTATAAAACTCTTTATCTTTGAAGTCTCTGAGGTTTCATTTTTAAAAATGTATCTCCTTGGAACAGTATACAAGCTCTCAATACTGGGTTAAGTAATTTTCCTTACTTACTCTTTCCTGCTTAAATACAATTAAAGATTTTTAAAATATAATTTTAAGATACTTCCATCTTTCTTGTTGTTTAACTTAGGTTATCTGTAATTGAGATTGAACCATGAAGTTAAATTTATTTCACATTCTAAGCTCACACTGAAGTTTCAGTACTCTTTGGCACAGATTCAATCTTTTTAGCAGTATCGTTGCATATCTAAAAGGTTTACTTTTAATGCCTTTGAGAAGGATTTGATTTCATGTTTTGTATTTTTATCCCCCCTTTTTAAAAACTTTTAAACCAAACATAATTGCTTTTAAAGTCTTTTTGAATAATTTTGTAACTGTTGGAGACGGTATGTAGAATTCTTAGCATATATATCTTGTTTATGAAAAATAGAATAACATTTGCTATTTCCTAAACAGTTATTTCTCACATGCATTATTCACTTCACTGCTCCATAATAGTTTTATCAGTAATGTTCTTCATTATTTGTGCTGAGCGAAATGATGGCATAGAGATGAATATTTTTCATCCTCATAGTGTGTGTTGCATACTTCTCTATCAGCAGAAGCATTGATCTTGTTCCAGTACCTAGAAGGATGTAAATATTATCTGTTCCCTGGAGAACCACATGAGAGAGGTGCATCCTAAATATTAAGCAAGCATGTGTAGAATTGTCACTTAATGAAGGATTACTTTTGTTATGTTATTCTACTTGCATCTCTTCTTGCTGGAAACTGTGTGTTAAGTACAATGTGCCATATAGTCATTCCACTGAGATCAATTTTTTTCCCATTAAAATGAACCACCATGTCCTTGATAAGAGGAAAGGAGTTGGCTGTGCATCTTCCATCCTTTTTCCTCCACAGGCTTATTTCTTAGAGTACAGGTACTCCTCGATTAATGATCAGAAATGAGCCCAAAATTTCTGCTGCAAAGCGAATTGTTAGGTGAGTTTTGCCCCGTTTTACGACCTTTCTTGCCACAGTTGTTAAGTAAGTCACTGCAGTTGTTAAGTTAGTAAGACGGTTGTTAAGTGGATCTGTCTTCTCCATTGACTTTGCTTGTCAGAAGGTTGCAAAAGGTGATCTCATGACCCCGGGACACTGCAAGCGTCATAAATATGAGTCAGTTGCCAAGCGTCTGCATTTCGATCATGTGATCATGGGGATGCGGCAACGGTGATAAGACTGAGAAATGGTTGTGTCACTTTTTTTCGGTGCCATTGTAACTTTGAATGGTCACCAAACTGCTCTAAATCGAGGACTACCTCAAGTATTACTCCCACCTATATAATGTTTCTTCTTATCCTTCTTGTAAAGAGTTTCTGAGCTATATTCATCTGCACTTAGGATATTAACCTCAGTATTATCTGGTGTGTCGCTTACACGTTTGGTTCACCTGATGTGTAAAACAGTAACAAAGTTACATGTACTGTAATTTTATGTGGGAATGACCTTTTGAGACAGAAGGAAGAGCTTCAGATTGGATAATCATTATCTAAAAGACATTTCAGGGGAGAAGTGGATGAAAAACATTTCAGAAGGGACCCTCCTTAGTTTTCTGAAGAGTAAAAGGACAGGAGGGGAGAAATACCTTTGCTTAAAGATTCTGTTAATCTAACAACTCAATAAATATAGAGTTAGTACACATTGTTGTGCTTCTTGCCTGGACTACCTCAAAGAATAACATTTGCTAGGATGCTTCCCTTGTCTCCCGTTAGTATGGATTCTGGATCTAGTGTTTCACAGTTTTAATTCAGTAAGATGTTACCTTGACCAATTTTCTCCCTAAAACCTCTGTGCTTTATTCCCAGTTTGAAGGGATATACGGTGGATCAGAAATGCATATATTGCATCTTAGATTTATATTCCAAAAGAATGACAAGCAAACGTAATTGACTTCATTATCAATGGCGATATTTAAAAGTCGGTGGGAAATAAAGTTCTTCTGAAGCAAGTTCTCCCTTCTGTTTTTTTCCATTGCTATAATGGAGTAGAATGTAAGAGAGAAATTAAATTCATATTTCAGTAAGCTCTTTTTTTTACCCAAATATATCATGTATAATAGTGCAGTCTTTCTAATGATATATATCACTGTCATTATTAGGAAGGAACTGTTGCATGAATAGATTGTTGATGAATTTTCTAAAGCAATCTAGAGTTAAAAATAGATTTATAAGTAAAGAAAGGGCTCTATAATATAGATGAACAATTTCTTTGACAAGGAGCTGTGAAGCTTTCTGAATGACATTCAGTTTGGTTTGTAGTAGTGCTTTATATGTGGAACTGCCTTGCAATACACTGAAAATTTTCCTTTGGTCCAAAATACATCTGATAAATTCTTAAGTGATATTCATTAGACAGAATATATATTGCCACTTCTTAACCATTACACTATATCTGAACATCTGCCTTCTGCATAAACATACAAAATCATTTCTCTGCAATCACAAAAACTCCATTTTGGTTGTGGCACCTCTTCCTACCAGGTCAGAAACTTTTTTTTTTATTTTAGCACTCTAAAATAGATAAAAAAAATAATTCATTACTATATTAATTTATGACACAAATAGCCAATCCATGGGCCCCAGATAGAGCCAGCCCGTCTTTTCATAGCCCTCAAACTTCTCCAACTGGGACTTTTTTTTTTTTTTGCTTGTCTAAGAGTCAAATGGGTGCCTTAAGTTTACAGAGAAGTATACCATGCGAACCTATGGCACGTGTGCCAGAAGTAGCACTCGGATCCCTCTCTGTGGGCATGTGCACTGTTGCCACAGCCCCACCTCTCCCATGGCCCCCTCCTCACCAGCAGCCCCCCGGAGGAGAGTCACTCCCAGGTGCGGCCCAAGCGGAGTAGCACAGCCAAGGACATAGCAATTGGGCAGCAGGGATAAGACTCTGCCCTCGCGCCCCATCATGTGCAGATTATGCTGCAGGGTGTGGGCAGAGGGCGTGGCCACCATGGTGCTGCTGGGCCACCTGGGCAATTTGCGGCGGGCCATGGAGGCGGTGGGTGGCCCTGCGGGTGGGCGGGGTGGGGGCAGGTGAGTGGGGCGGGTAGGGCGGGGCAGGGGGCAGACCGGGGGCAGAGGTGGGGGTGAGAGGGAGGCAGGGAGGTTTTTGGGCACTTGGTCTCTAAAAGGTTCGCCATCACTGCCATACATTATGCCCCTTTAAAATCCAGTTCCCCCAAAATCAGTTCAGATGTTTCAATCCTATGTAAGGTATAGTTAAATCCAGTGATATTTGTGTATATTGATCTATGTATGAGAGAATGCAGCTTTGATGTTTTGCAATTTTAATCTTAAGGACAACTAGGTTTTTTCGGGGGGGGGAGGTGAGTGCCTCTCTTTATATAATGACTCATCTTCAGGCCCATCATTTAGTCTTTGTTTCTTATTAATTTATTTAGAGGAAAGATTCCACAGAAAGAATTAGAGACACTGTTTCCTGGAAAGAGTGCTGATTTTACAAGTGAAAACTTTTCTGCTGCTTGGTATTTAATAGAGAATCATTCAACAGCAAGGTTAGTGTGAATGTTGTTATTTTTTCATGTTTAAGGAGTATCAGCAATACATTTTGGCAAAGAATTGTAGATGATGTGGCTGCAGGCCAGTCCCACTGAAATGGATGAGACTTATGATCTGGATGAACTTGGTTTATCCAAGTGGAATTATTTTAAGTGGAAACTACATTCCTCTAACTTAATCTGGGTTCATGTCTCTGTTCATAAGTGTTTTTCAGTGTGGATTTATTATAAAACACAAAGAATGCAGGATTTTAGAAATAGACATTTTTACAATAGGCAATGCCTGGATTTTAGTATATTTTTAATAGCCATTCAATGTTTTAGTACATATTTAGGTGAAAAATTTTGTTTCTTATTTCACAATCCCATTGTAACGTACATTATTCATAAACTTTCCATATTTGAAACAAAAAGCTTTTTTTTCTCTCCTGGAATTCAGTCATCTAGACAGTAGCCATAATTCATAGTTGGGAGTTCATTGTTATATATTTACTCATTTAAATTGAATATCCTTTCTCTTGGCATGTTTGCTGAACTAAATACATTTGTCATTATGACAAGAATAAACAAAAGTACAAGGATAGAAAAGCAAAAAATTAAAAAGCAAAGATCCAGTTATTGTTTTAAACTAGTAACAGCAACAAGGAGATGACAGATTTGTATGAATGACATTTCAATCTGCTATATCGTGCAGCTGTAGGGGATTTTGTTAATTTGCTTATTTGTCATCTTTTTTCCTATGTTAGGGAAAGAGATTCTCTATTTCTCTCTCTTTCTCTCTTACACATACCTCACACACAATCTCACTCACTCTTTCAGACAAAAACACGCATATTAATGACCAATATAATAACTCTTGTTTCATGTTCATATAGCAGATAATATACCAAACTTTTCTTGGCCTGAAGACCAACAATATTCTGCTTTTTCTATCTTTGCTTAATTATTTCAGTGTACACCTTATCTTCCTGAAAGTGGAGTTGCATAACTATATTCTCATGAATTATTTTCAATTTGTATAAAAAGTACATACTGGGATTAACTTGTTTCTACTGGATTGGTGGTTTATAGTAAGTCGTCCTCGTTTTCTCTAAATAGAAAATGATTGGGCTTGATATTTGATTAAGATAAACATGGCATATCATTTCATATTTATTGTCTGAATACCATCTGTCTTTTTCTCTTTTGGTTTTAGTTTTGATCAGCTTAAAATGGCAGTAATAAATCTGAGGAAACAAGCCAACAAGAAAAACGAGGGAAATCTTCAATACGTCAAAGGAGGTCTCAGCACTTTTTTTGAAGCACAGGATGCCTTGTCAGGTAAGTGTCAGAACTTCAAAAAGAATCTAGGAATTCTAATGGAGGGAAGGAATCTTAAGGGATTAAGTGACCTAAGCCACTAACAACAGTGAAAATGTCTGATAAACAGTACATCAATTGAGAAAAAAAAAAATCTGTGATGTGTTTCATAAAGTACCTGTGATTTACCATTAGTAAGGATGCGGCTAATTGTATTTCTGTACCTGTTCATTTTACTGTGGTGACTGAGTCCTCTGCAATATTGAAGTATGAAATGTGTATTTTCTGTGATTAAATACATAAGTAATCCTAACTATTCTATAAATTTTACCATAGTTATATCACGTTTCCTAAGCAAAAGATTTTTACATTAATTTATCTTAGTATTCAGTCTTAAAGATACAAGAACAGCATAATATTCCCCAGTTTTACATCTGGCAATGCATAGAATTATGAGGGCAAATGTAATACAATAAAGCAAGAAGTTTGAAAATGAACTAGTATTTTCATTATGTTATATACTGAAATGTGAAAGTGATTCCTCCCCTCATTAGATGAGAACTACATTTCACAAAGGAAAGTTTATTCTTTTCAACATTTTATCCTTAGATATAGTATTGTTTTATTAGGTATCACCACTGTCAGTTATACATAATTTTGTCTTTCGCTTTTCATTGCATACCATTTCTTTGCTTGCCAAGAGTACTCTGAAAGTCATGTGATCCATGCATTTTTTCTAATATCTATTTGGCATTTCATAGGAATACATTTCTAGTTTTAGCCAATGTACAAAATGGGCAAATAATGAACAATTTAAATAATTGCAATTAAAATATCTACAACTGAAGAATCTTAAATTCAAAGATTTTTTGAGATAAAATAGAGTTTATAGTTAGATTTCCATCCTTGCTTGAAATTTTGGTTATAATTCTTTGTTTGATAATGTAAAGATGTTACTCTTACATGATGCCAATTTTACAATGTAGCTGAAGGTATTGAACATTTCACAAATGTTCAGTTACATTGTGAAGTTGGCATCATCTAACAGCAACATCTTTAGAAAATGCATGTCAAGTCTTGGGTTGCTCTGTCGTAAACAGTAATTTCTCAGTTTGCCAAAGCTCATTCTCCATTTGAGATTTAAAACAATGCTTTTGAAAATATTTTACATTATAAATTGCTACAGTAGTTTTAAAATAGGAAATCAGATATGAGATGTAAAATGCAATACAAGAAAACATAACTTTTTGGCTTATCCTTATTTTATATAATATTTTTATTCCCAATATTCTTTGGCAATCAAGTTCAAAGATGAGACCTGAAAAATAAAACTGCCATTTCCCTGTAGCAAAAATTAATGAAGACTTTTACCTATCTTTGGTAGGAGTGGCTTCAATGAATATTCTTGCACTGCGTCGTAATTGAGTACAATAGTCCCAGGGACTAAACCAGAAGTCAAGCAAGACTTTCATTGACTAAACTAGATGGCTATAATGTTACTTCAGTATCCATTTCAAAGACACGGATACCTATGGAAACCCAAGTACAGAATTCCATTCTTCATATTACTTCAAATGTTCCTATCCACTCCTGTCCCTAAATTGTACTACAGAGTAGCCAAGGAAAATATATTTAGTAAGTACCTGGTGAGAAAGGAAGCAGATAATAAAAGTTGGAATTATTTTTATATGGAAGTTACAGTGCAAACTATTCCTTCCAGGATTTTTTGTTTGTTTGTACGTGTACCCTGAGATAATGTAGGAAGGCCCACGGAGCTTCCAAACTTTCAAGGGGACATGGCACCTTGATGTTTCAGGCAATGAAGTCGATGGAGTGCTTCCAACATTTCCTAATCCCCACCATCAGATGGTTCACAGAGCTTCGGAGCTACTTTTGAAAATTTATCATAAGATTAAAAACAAATAACTAAATATAGCTAAGGAGTGGAAAATTGCTACTGTTCATGCAGACCAGTGTTTGAAAAAAAAAATAGAAGGGAAAATTATACAATGGTGAAATAACAATTATGTTTGATTTGTCATATCCCAAAATGCCGTATTGGAATTTCTGACTTTTTCGAATTAGACACATATGAACATGACTTTGCCTGCATAATCTAGCATAAAAGTCATTTTCTTCTTCAAAGTCAAGTAACCAACAAGAGCTTTTAGCCAGTGTAAAACTGGAGCTACTTTAAGCTCCACACAAGAAAGTGAAATATATAGCAGAACTGTCATGGTAATTAGAAGACTAAATAAGAGAACATACTCATGCCCACATGATTAACTTTACTGCCAAAAATCATAGCATAAGCTTAGCAGCATAGTGAAGTTTAGAAGTCTGGAGTATCTGGCTCTTATCATAATGCCTGTGTCACTAGATCACAAATTATCTTGTAACAAACGTGTGCTGTTTAAATCTATGACTATAGCTCATTCATCCATTAAAATAGTTGAAATTTAACAAGTTGTTTTATTTCAGCTATCCATCAAAAACTAGAAGCGGATGGAACAGAAAAAGTAGAAGGATCCATGACGCAAAAACTAGAGAACGTTCTCAACAGTAAGTTTTGTACAACTATTTATATACTTCAGTGCTACTTCTTTTATTTTAAAATAATAAAAAATGGATTTTTTTTCAACATTTGTTTCTGAATCTTAAAACTGTATGAAACTTGATAATTTACTACTTGAATTCTGACAGTATTGCAGAGACTGATGCTTGAAATAAAAAAAGGCAACAAAAAAAATCAGATGCTCTGTAGTATTCTGTAGGCCTTTAATAACAAAGGAGTAATGTGGTCTATCATTTAAACTGAGGAAATAAATCTATGTGACTAGTTTATAAAGTAAAGTTTCCATAGAAAATGGTTAAGTTTCAAGCAGATTTATAATTTACTTTTTACTGTTCAAATGCAAATTTATAGTTTACTCTTAGGGCAAATGGGTATCTAGAAGATGAATTAAAAGTCATCAATCTTTTTATTTCTTTAGCCTCATCTATACCTAATTTCACATTCCAGACCCTTTAATTTTTGTAGCTTTCTTTATAGATTCAAGAAGTTGTTACATCTGACTAGTTATTTAACACATTTAAATCAGTTATTCTTGTAGAACTGTTAAGATTTTCATATAGTGGTTTTTAAAAAAAATAATAATGAAGCAAATCTTCCATAAATGAAAATAAGAAATTTATATTTTTAAATGGCATTTTGCAGATAGATATTTATGAGAGAAAAACACAATTTAATTTTTTTAGATTAGTTGTTTTAAAAAAAATTGATGGAGAGTTACTCAAATAACCTCAAAATGACAGGCCTGAAAAATATAGGAAAATGGCAATAAAGCCTTAGATATACCAGAAAATATGTTTTCTATAATTCACTGTTTTTCTTTGCATAGCTTTGAATATATTACCTTTCTGTTCAGATTAAATAAAAGCAGCATGCCTTGCACACAGGAAGGGAAGTGTTAATTTTGTCTATACCTTTAATAATTCTTTATCTCCTCTAATACTGATGCTTTGGACCCCATTAATGAAGTGGCTGAATTCAGGGAAGAAAATGCATGGAAAAAAACTAGTGGATAAAAATACTGTTCATAATAGTATCTTGAGTTCCAGTCAAATGAAATGAATCTAGAACAGAAATTAGCAGAGTTGTGCTCATGTGGAAAGAAAGTGTTTTGGATCTAATCTTCATTCTTGTTCCTTTTCTCTGTATCCCTCTGCGTTATGAAATACTGTGCAGAAGGACTGAAGGATCCTCTAAGGAGCATGAGAAGTCCTAAAGGGCTATAGGGTAAATGAGTGAATTGGCACAAATCCCTGCCTGCCCTGTCCTTTCAGCAGGGAGCATGCCCAAAATCTCTTTTGGCTCCGTGAATAGCCATTAACTTTCACTTGACGCATTTCTTTCAGTTTCTGGCAAGGAAGAAAATTTATCTGGAAAATAATTTTATTTTCCACGCGTCTTAGATTGATTTGAGCTTTCTTAGGAAATCAGGTTAACGCTATAGAGAAGATGTAGGATAGTGGATAGTAGGTTCCATCTACAATTAAGCTATTGAATTATTTAAAATAGCAACTGTATATAATGTTGGATTTCACTTTGCCATTTTATTTAAGAAACATGAATGCATCTAAAAGACAATGTGAAGGGAAATGCACTTGTTTCCTTTCAAGAGCTTCTCTCTCTCTCTCTCTCTCTCTCTCTCTCTCTCTCTCTCTCTCTCTCCATTTATACACACACACACACACACACACACACACAAACATGTTTTTTAGAGAAAGATTTCAGTGAAAGAAAATGTACATTGTTTGCATATTCAGATTATTTTGTTAATTTTGGGGGGGAGAGAAAATCCTAGAGAAGCTATTTTCCTTTGCTCTGTTTCTATCTTGATCTGAGGACTCTTTCCCTTAAAGTGTTATTAGCAAGCTCAGAATCGCATCCTGTGAATAGGTTTATTCTTTTAGAATTTTAGAATATCAGCATAGTCTGTGAAACAAAAAAGAGAGGTGGAAATATTTTTCTCTATAACCGTACTTTTTGTGTCATATATATTATTTATAGCTTGTAAATAGAATTATTTTTATCTCAGCTATACAAAATATATGTGTGTTTATGTATTCCTAACTAATGTCTCTCAGTAATTCGGTGCCTGGGAGAGAAGGGAACATTCATTTTAACAACAATAATATGCATTTTAGAATAAAAATAATAATTCTGAGAATTCTGTAAAGATGAGGTGAAATTGCTGGTATAAAATTAACTGAACTAGTATTATACCAGTCCTTTTGAAGGAAAGCTTTTTAAAAAAATAAAATATAGCTGTTGATAGAAATTGCAAGAAGCTTTATTTTATCCGAAAGCACCAGTAGTATTTACCCAAAGCATTAAACTTTGGAAAGAAGACTTTGATTAAAAATACTGGAAAAATGGCACCTTAGGAAAGTGAATTTTTATTGACTTTTTTTTTCTTTCTGAACATCATTTTTATTTTCAGTAAATATGATAAAACATTTCCCCCCCTAATTCATGGTCCTTTTTACTAGTATGCATGCTTTATACTCTTTATTAGAAGGATTTTTTTGCAGATGTTCTTTTTAAAAGCAAGTTCTAAGTAGCATTTAACCTTGGGAGAGTTGGAAAAAATTAAAAATTATCCTAATGAATATGATTATTTATGGTTTAAAATGTTTAAAATTAGATAATCAAAATATCTCAGAGTTGAAACGGACAAATAATGCCATGTAATTACTGTTTTTTATTAAATATTTTTTAAAAGTATTTCTTGAACATTTCAATTATTTTACTATTTTATAATTGGAGTGTTACTTTCCTTTAACTATTCATGTTTGCTAATTTTTTAAATCATAAGATATTGAAAGTAAAATGATTAGCAATATCATGTTTGAATATCAGGTAATTTTGTCCCCCTCTCCCTACCAAATAAAATGTAGTAGGACCAATTCTCTTGACAAAACAAAGTTTCTTGCATTAGGGTCTTGAAACATCAACAGTGTTTAAACGCTATTTAGATATAACAATTATTTTACAAAGGCTACTTTTAACATGAGCAGGCCACCCACAGTGTTGACGAGAGAAAATGGCATGCAAGCCACCCAGTGAGACTGAGGTAATTTTTTCATCTTTGCTTAAATTATAGTCACTAGACCAGATAATGTAGAAAGTTTTACAGGCAACCATCAAAAGGGATAGAAACATTCACTTTTTTTTTCCTGGTAAATTAAAGATAAGTCACAAGTTGGGAAAAAATTAACATATTTGACACATCTTTATTATGAGAAGGAAAGGCAAGGACTTTTTTTGGGTGGGAGTTAACTCTGAAATATGCCCATCAAATTTTAAAGACTAAATGCTTTTAAAATGTAACAAGTAAATGTTTGAATATTTTATTATTTGAATAGCTTAATGCAGAATTTCACAGTCCTTTAGAATCATTCTCACATTCCTGTTTGAAACCATATAGTGTTGCTCAAAATCATGGAATTTGATACAGAATTTGTGATGTGATAATGGTTTAAATCATTATTTTAACCAAATGTCCTAATGGAGTTCTTCAGTGAAAAGGAATAAAAAATCCCTTTCAGACATATTTTGGTCAAAAGTTACAATATTGATACTCTGTCTCTTCTGTGTTCAGTAAATTCTAAGTTACACTGTTTGTATCAGTAAAATTAAATTCATGCTTATTTCATTGTGTTCTGTTATAAAAGAAGAATATTAGTAATGATCAAATTGCTAGCTGGAACCATATAATTCAGTTCTGTAGCCAAAGGAAATTCTAAAGTTACACAATGAATTTCAAACATTTGCTGCAGGAATGGAAGTTATTTTAAATGCACTTTGGTTTCTACCACGCAAAAAAATCTAAGCAGCCATTAGTAAATATTGTTTCAGAACATTTATAAGCCAAAACATTTCTAATATAAACACTTATCACTGTTGATGTATGTTTAATTTGTATAAATAGCTTGACAAATTTTTGATTAAATTTAGCAAGAGCTGCAGTTTATCTACTTCTTTGTCTCCTTTTCTTAAAAGGAGCAAGCAATACCGCAGATACATTATTCCAGGAAGTTTTGGGTCGCAAAGACAAGGCTGATTCAACAAGAAATGCCTTAAACGTTTTACAGCGCTTCAAATTTCTTTTCAATCTTCCATTAAATATTGAAAGAAACATTCAAAAGGTACTAATCTTACAAAATGCAAGTTAAATTGTTTTGCCCCACATTTCCAGTACAAATTTCTTAAAACTTGTTTTTATGTTTTTAAGGGAGATTATGATGTAGTCATTAATGACTATGAAAAAGCAAAGTCATTATTTGGAAAGACTGAAGTTCAAGTCTTCAAAAAATGTGAGTTTGGCATTTTGTGAAACTTGATTTTAATTCTAGTAGGGAAGATTAATATGAGAGCAAATTCCAAATTCCTATCTTTGTTGAATAGTTTTATCTTCTTATATAACATTTGTAGCATTTGAAATGCTTTCTTAAACTGTGTGTTGCATTTTCTGCCTTGAAAATATATATTATTTTGTATTGTGCATAACAAGATTTGAAGTTGATAATTTCATAAAATAGATTGACTATGTGGATGTATTTTTTAATGAGTTCAAAAATTGCAGTTTGCAGTTTATAAAATAGTTTAATGCATATTTGCTTGGGATAAAGTTAAAACTAAAATTTCTTACTCAGTCTCAGAAAAAGGGCTCTTGTTATTCTGAAAGTGTGTATGAATAGTTACATGGATATTGAAATTAATTGAGTTATAATATAAATTAAAATTTTCTACTAAAAAGATCAGAGAAATTTAGGAAGACTTGAGAGCCAACAAGTTCAAATACAAGATGGTGATATAATAGTGATACTGGTGTAATTTCTTATAGTTTGTTCATTTGAATTATAAAGGTTATAAAAATAATTTTATACTTTGGTAATTAATGGCATTTTATTCTAGGGTTAATTGTGGTGTTGTGTTTTAAAATTGTAGATTATGCTGAAGTTGAAACACGAGTCGAAGCATTAAGAAAACTTCTTCTGGATAAATTACTTGAGACACCATCAACATTACATGACCAAAAACATTATATAAGGTTACCTTTTTATTTTCAAAAAATATATGTTTTTTATATAGGCAGAAATATTTCCTTGGTATTATCATATGAGAAAGCATTCTACTAAAGAACAATTAGATATACTGTATATTTTGTATCCAGAATACTTTTCTGCAAACCGAAAGGTTCTTTTTATTAATACTGTAAAGAGAACCAAAAACAGCCCAAGCTCTCCATTTAAAAGAAACAGTTGAGCTGGCAGTTTTAGCTTTTCTTTCTTCTTCATTCTCAGACTATAGCACTACTTCATACATTGCTTTCAACACATAAGCAGTTTCTATTTTACTCATTTCTGAAGATTTTTGAGCAGTTGCTAAAGGCTATCCTACATCACACCGTAGAATTTCATTTTCTGTGCACATAGGGTATGGTTCACTGCTCCATTGTCTTATATAAAACAACTATTATTATGTTTAATAATTTAAAAGGATTTGGGGAAAAAATCATTTTTGAAACTGTGCTAAATTTTGAAAAATTTGAGAACTTGTCTCATTGATAATGCATTCCTTTAATATGAGCCAGACTGGAGTAAATGTTGTATGAAAGTATAGAGCATTTGAATGGTATTCTCTACTTCAGTCATTTATTCAATGCATCTCCTGATTTGGAAAAAGAAAAGGACATTCTTGTCCTAACTACATACTCTTCTGGTCTTTATTAAAAAGAATAATGAAGTATGCATTTCTGCATTAATCAACGTCTCATTGCCATTTAACTTGTATACTTCTTCATGCTGGGCAATCCTAATTCTAAGAAAACATATAAGAGCCAATAATAGGCTGCCAGATAAGATAATATTTAAAACCATTGCAGTAGAAGTGGAAATTGTATGAGGTTTGAACTATAAGACCTTCTGAAGCACTTTTGTGTATACTTCATCCCATATATCCTGAAACCTCTTTATATTTTATATACCTGACAGTTCAGAATATATACTTTCATGCTGTCCTTCTCAAATTACATACTATAAGGAAATTGTAGAAGCCAGTGCTGATTTATTGGAAATTCACCTCCTATACACATTACAAAATCTGCACAACACAAAGTAATCTTTTTTACAGTCAAACTCTTCATCTAAAGCAGGGGTGTCTAACTGCCGGCCCGCAGGCCAGTTGCATCATGCAGAGGCCATGCCCACCCCAGCTCCGGAAATGCGAAAAAAGTCATGATACGTCACGACATTTCATATGACATGGCGAGTTTGACACCCGTGTCCTAAAGAATACTGTTTCTTTGCTTTTCAAAGCTGTAAGGTCTAACCTTATTGTAGTATAGAATGTCCAAATTGAGCATTGTTCTCTTTTAAAAATCTAAATCACGAAAGTTTTAGGTGAAATTAATTTCACATTTAGCATGGTTACTTGGTATATGAAATAGACAATTGACTTAACTGTCTATTTATGAATCTTTCCTTCAGTTATGTACATGCAGGACAGAGTTCCCATGCCTGACTTGATTTCAGAAAGGGGGGCTTTGCTTAGTAATATACAGGTAGTTCTTGTCTTACAACCACAATCGAATCCAAAGTTTCCATGAGTAAGCAAGGCAATTGTTAAGTGAGTTTTGCCCCATTTTGTGATTTTTTTGCCACAGTTATTCAGCAAATCACTGCAGTTGTTAAGTGAATCATGCCATCATTAAGCAAATCTGGCTTCCCCCCCATTGACTTTGCTTGTCAGAAGCCAGCTAAGAAGGTTACAAATGGTGATCACATGACTGCGGAATAGTGCAACTGTCATAAATACATGCCAGTTGCTAAGTATCTGAATTTTGATTGTGTAACCATAGGGATGCTGCAATAATCATAAGTGTGAAAACTGCTCATAAGTCACTTGTGCTGTTGTAACTTCTAACAAATGACTGTAAGTTGAGAACTATCTGAAATTTTGAATCTCAGTTTCAGGCATCTCCAGTAGAGGAGTATAAGAACTACTGCAGGTTAGAATAAGTACTGTGTAGGTGGTCAAAAAGTTTGATCTGATATAAGGTAGATTCTATTGTTGCTCTTTTGGGTAAAGTATCTGAAAAATGAAATCAAATAAAAACAACAGGACTAAAAACAAATGAATAGATCCATACAACATTTCCCTGAAAGTTCTTAACAGGTCAAATATAAATTTGATTTTTAAATAAAAATTTGGTCCTAAGATTAATTTCTGTACCATGGCAGTGGAAAGTAAACAGTTAACATCTTTAGAAAGGGGGTGGATCATTCATGAAATTGCAAACAATTTAACCTATTGTCCATTCTGAATCAATTGTGGAAAGGATTATTGAAAATAATAATAAACATTTAGGAGTGTTACTGAGGTGCTGAATTAAAATGCAACCTGCAACGCTAATACTTGTCTTACTAAGCCTTTAGCGTGTCAACAGGTAAAAGAAAGCAAACAGCTGTTTAATTCTTGGATTCTTAAAAAAAGCTCTTGAAAAAGATGCCTCACTAAGCTCAGTAATCATGAAATATTTGATTGACAGTTGACTGAAGACAAGAAACAAAAAGTTGGAATAAAGTTCTTAGTTGAGTCAGATCAGATGTTTGGTTCCTCCTAAACTGGAACAAGTGCTTCCTTAGCTAGTTCATAAGTTATCTGGAATTAGGATGAAATGTGGGTTTGCTGAGAGGGATTCAAAGTGATGAAGTACAAAGCAGCTGTAAAAAAGATACCGTAAATGAATGAATATACAACATTATAGCAGATGGAGTTCAAAGTCAGAACTCCAAAGTAATCCTTACTGGCACAAAAACAGTATTTTTATCTTCATATTAACGGATATATCTGGAGAAAGAAAGTTGATAGCAAGTTAAATCAGTGAAAACACTTGATATAAAGAAATCTCAAAGAGAAGAAAATAGTATACAATTCTGTACAAATCAAAGGCGAAAACTGCTGAGAACTGTAATTTCTGTATTTGAAAACTGTATTTGGAACCATGAGGAGGCTGAAACAGTTTGCCTCCGAAAAAAGAATGATCTTTTTCTTCCGATGCAAAAATGATAGCTCTAATACAGTGGTTCTCAACCTTTTTAATGCCACAACCCCAACTGCTCGTAAGTCGAGGACTAAAGTCGTAAGTCGAGGACTAAACCGGTCATAAATCAAGGACTACCCAACCGGTTGTAAGTCAAGGACTTTCCCTGACCGGGAGCGCTGTGCATGCGTGGTGCTGCGCCCTGCGCCAGCCGAGGCATAGCTGGCAAGCGGCAGAGATGGAGCAGGCCGATCACCGGCTGGGCCACCAGCTGGCCCAGCCCAAGGGAGGTAAGGCACCCGCCGGAAAAGGGGAAAAAATGGCGGACAGCCTTGCTTGGCGACCCCCATGAAATGGTCGATCGACCCCAAATGGGGTCGCGACCCATAGATTGAGAACCGCTGCTCTAATAAATGCCAAGAGCTGACAAGCAAGACTTGCACATTCCAAAAATTAGTGCCGTAGCAGATAGGCCTAGTCACAAAGTTGCAATTACCAAAAATCAAACCGGATTGCGGTTGCTTCCCTCCAAGCAATTTAATACCCAGGGCATAACAGCTATTTCATTTATTTCCAGAAGTATTTCAAGTTACTTTTAGACAGATGATCACTGTTTCAAGTTAAGAAAAATTATGTAGCCCTCTATGATATTTGTTTTATAAGACTTGGGGGCCTCATTCATATGTGCCAGATGCAGTCTTATAAAATCTTATAAATATTTTGCAGTCATCCTTGGGAATAATAATTGTGTGAGTCTTTGCAGTGTTTCAGCTTTCCATTTATTTACTCATTTTTAATTTTAAAAATATAAAGAATTCTTATGAAAATGTTGGTTCCAAAATTATGATTATGTGTGTGAAGTTGAACAAAGAAGAAAAGCACAGTGGCGGACATGGATTAACAGGGTCAAAGAAATGTTTGGAACTTTTTGGAAAGAGCTATGGGCTATTGCTAAAGACTAATCAAAAGAGTAAGCATTTGCCTATGATTGAGACTGACTCAGTGGCAGCTAACTTAAGACATAGTGGTAGAAAGAAATTTGCTTACTTTTTTTGTGAATTTTGAGTGAATCACAGAAAAGAATTGACAGAAATTCATGCAACCAGTGAAACAGTTTGCATCTTTTATTTCCTTAACATCAGTCATGGTTTCTAGTTTATATAATAGAAAAGGGGGAGGGATTGATTAGTTCTGATGTCAGTGTATACCTCCAATGCAGACAACAAAAATAAGAGGCGTCTTCATGACTTGTGTGTAATTTCCCAATAGCATCTGCTTAACATTTTTGTTTTTGTGTTCTAAAACTTGTTTAAAAGAGCCTCATTCACATTTTATGCATTGCTTAGAAAAATACAGATATTCCTCGACTTATAACCACAATTGAGCCCAACATTTTTGTGGTTAAGTGAGACATTTGTTAAATGGGTTTTGTCCCATTTTACGACCTGTCTTGCCTCCGTTGTTAAGTGAATCATTGCAGTTGATAAGCTAGTAACCCAGTTGTTAAGTGGATCTGGCTTCCCCATTGAGGTTTCTGGTCAGAAGGTTACAAAACAGTCATAAAATGAACTAGTTGCCAAGCATCTGAATTTTGATCACATGATCATGGAGATGCTTCAAACGTCATAACTGAAAAATGGTCATAAGTCACTTTTTTTCATTGTAATTTTGAATGGTCACTAAATGAACTGTTGTAAGTTTAGGACTACCTGTATACCTTATCAAAAGTGCAAAAGCAGCATAAATTTAAACTGACAATTTGCTTCTGTAAGAGGTACAATTTAACATGGGGAGAGATTATAATTCAATTACATCAGAATTTGAAGGAACTTTGAATAACTGGAATAATTTAACAAAAAGCTACTTTAAAAGAGGGAGTCATGTGGAACTGCAAAATCGTCTTCGTTAAGGACCACAGTAAACTTGAAGATTCATATATTGGCCTCATATTATCTGCGATTATATATAACGCAGTGAGGATGAGACAAACGACCATGTCTTGTAACTCATAGTCTGAGGCATTTACTTGCTTCAGACCCAATAGTAATTGATGAGGGGCAGTACTCATGTATTCTATCACTGCATTTACTGACCTTATATATGTCTATGAGCAAAATTGTCTGGGCTAAACAGTTCCTTCACTAAAAAAGGTGAAAGATCACTTATTTGGCCTTCCCAATATTCAGAATGAGCATGTTAGAGGATGTATGCTTATTTTTCTAACAAAGAACCATTTGCTCAGGTAACCATCTAAATGAGGGTGCTGTGTGTAGTTTTTTTTCTCTCCCATGTTGTCTTACTAAAATGGATAATGAGTTAATGTTCTGATGATAAACACTTTCTAATATCTGAATGAACCAAGAGCTTGAAAGTGGGTTGGACCCTTCTTCATCTTTATAAAATATGGAAATGAAGTGGTGCTAAGGCAGAGCAGACAATAGATTCAGCTGAACCCCATGCTACTCTATACTACTTTGTGGCATGTTATAACTATGCATCTATTTCTGTCTTTTAAGGATTCAATACATTATTTTGTATTGCCTTCTTAGCTTTCCATGGCAAAGACAAAATCCTGAATACTGTATGTGCCAATGTTGAATGACCGTAGGCTGGTTTAACTATATTAAATAATGCCAAGGTCTTCAAACCACCTAAAATGAGACAGACTTAATGAGGCTTAAATGATTAATTTCACTTTGATATGTTACTAGGATATGTCACATAAGCCTCTCCTATGTTAAAACATTACTATGCATTGGTAACATGGGTTGTCATTAGTTTAGATCCCACTGGTTGCTCTGATGAACATCGTAAACATGGCATGTAATATGAAGAGACCCATAATAAGCATAGCAACCATGCATGTCTGGGCCTGATTAGCGCCTGGGTGGAAGCATACGCCAGAACTCCATCTGCATCAGCTTCCATTCCATGGAAAAAAGGCAGAATATAAATCTAATAAACAATTGCACTAGGATAAGGATGTGAAAACTACTTTACCCTTGGAAAACAGCATACTGGTACACTTGCCAATATAATTGTGTTGAGACAGTTTCCATGTCACAGAGGAAATATTAACTTTAAAAAAAAAACCAGCTTCATGAAATGATGAGGCTTTGTTTTCATAGCTATAAAAAGTGGTGCCTGCTTTTGGGGTGCTATTTTTTAAATGTGACCCTGACAAACACTGGGTAATGAAGGTCACACAACTCACATTTCAACTGTGTTTCCCTAACTATGTGCAGCTTTAAATGCGGAAAGTTATTTCTAAATGCAGTTAAATAAAATATTCAGACATTAAAAATTAATCACATTTTGTGAAGAAACAATTTTAGATTTTTGGCTGTCCTTCTAAAGGAGTATCAGAGGTGAAAGGGGGAAAGAGCAACAAAGTTCCTAATAATAATTAAGGAGTAATCTCAGTAAAATCTAATCACAGGTCTTGTCCATTAAAAAAAAAAACCTGTTTCCGCTTTTTATCCGTCCCTACCCCCAATGTATGAAAATAATGAAATGGAAGCAGATTAAGTAGGTTTATACAAGTTCTTATTAAGAAGCCAGAATGATTTAAAATAGTGCAATTTAGCAAAATAAATAAATAAAGAGGGGAACACATTTATACTATAAGATACATAAGAAAATTAAAATGTTTGAATTTTTAAATCCAGGTTATTTGGATAGCAAATTATAAAAGCACATGCCAAGTATTCTGATCAGTTCCCACTGCCTATATACATGTAGTTCTCGACTTACAACCATTCATTTAGTGACCGTTCGAAGTTACAATGGCACTTAAAAACAGACCTATGACTGTTTTTCACACTTACCACCATTGCAGCATCCCCATGATCCTGTGATCAAAATTCGGCCACTTGGCAACTGGCATATATTTATGGTGATTGCAGTGTCTTTGGGGGTCATGTGATCATTTTGTGCGAACTTCTACCTAGCAAAAGCCAATGGGGAAGCCAGATTCACTTAACCACCATGTTATTAAGTTAACAAGTGCAGTGATTCACTTAAAGTTGTGTCAAGAAAGGTCGCAAATTGGGGCAAAACTCAGTTAACAACTGTTTTGCTTAGCAATGGAAATTTTGGGTTCATTTGTGGTCATAGCTTCAGGACTGCTTGTACCTGATTTTTGATACATAGAAGCTAAATAGAACAGTTTCCAAAATGACTCATGGACTCAAAACGGGACCTAGATTTGAATAAATATTCATAGATTTTCACTGTTGTTATGCATCAGCTTATGTATAATTAAAAGATGACACCCCAGATAAAGTGCTAGAAGCATATTTAAATAAGAAGTGCTCATATAAATAATTTCCAAATAAAAAGGACAAGTATAGAAAGTGGAAAGAGGGGCACATAACTAAGTCAGAATATCAACAAATAGCCCGAGTCTGCAAAGATGAAGTGAGGAAAGCTAAGGCTCAAAATGAACTAAGGCTTGCAACCAAAGTCAAAAATAACGCAAAAAGCTTATTTCAATATGTAAAAAAAACAAGAAAGTGAAGGAAATGATTGGTCCATTAGTGGGGGAAAGTGGCAAGGTGACAAGCAACAGAGAGAAAGCAGAACTATAGTGATAAGGGCCTTGTAGTCATTTAAAAAGTCAGCAAATTTATTCAGGCTTAAGGTTTATGGACTACAAGCTATGTTCATTAAGGGTTGACCTAAACTACATGTAGATAGATTGTGTGGTATTTGGGTACAGTGATGAATTTGAGGGCAATTCAGTACATAAACTGCAATGTTCACACAAAATGTTTATGGTGCATAAACATTTTGGAATTGATAGCAGCAAATTTAATATGATTGTAAATATTTCTGGTGGTTATACTAAAATGAACTTTTTACTATCAGACACTATTTTTGGAATGATTGCTGTTAATTATATAATTATAATATTTATACTTTCTATCATTCATTTATTCTGTGTTCCCAACTTTTATTATTTCTGACCATCCTTTTTACAGACATAAATATATCTCCTGTGAAAATATTTTGTGAATCTGCTATAGGATTCTTTGATTAAGAAACAATTTTCAGCTAGCAAATTTTTATGGGAAAACATGTTACCATGATTTTTGACTATAATAGACTAATACAACTCTCTTTCTACAATATAAATTCAAGTATCCCTCAAACTAGTCCCTGGTCTTGGTGACTTCATGGGAACATCTACAGTATTAGTTTCATGCAATGGTTTTCAATTATTCTTTTCAAGACTTTTCTTTCAACTTCCCAGTCTAATCTACAGCCTTGGAATTTCCTGGTGCTTTCCCAAATATTGGAAAATTCTGGACCTGAGTAGCTTTTTTTTTACCCCTGCTTTATTTAGGTTAACCTGGAACTTCTATTTAATGGAGAGTAACATAAAGTATTGTTAATAAATAATAAATAAAATCTTATCCCATACTTAATATTTAGAGTAAAAAACAATTAGAGTAATGTTTAGAGTAAAAACAATTTTATACTGATTTTCCGATAAGTAAGCTTTCCGATAAGGGAGCAAGGAAACACATAGAGGAAAGGCCTCCCATTTTCTAAACCTTTTTTCTTCAAAATTATAATTTTATAGATACCTTTCAGACCTCCATGCAAAGGGAGACCCAGCTTGGCAATGCATTGGTGCACAACATAAATGGATCCTGCAGCTTATGCACAACTGTAAAGAGAGCTACATTAAAGAACAAAAAGGTAATTATCTTTCTGTTTAGAGAAGTATCTGATCTTACAATGCAACATTTCTCTTTATAACATTGTAATCATTGTTTGCATTTGAACTGAACTTTACCATTTTTTATGTTTCCTTTCAAACTGGTATGTCTTGCAACCTTAATTATTTAAAGAATTAAGATCGTTGAAAGTTTGGTTTACCACTAGAAGAAAGGAATTGGATCTCTCTGTATGAGAAGCAGGCTGAGATGTTACCCACTGCTGTATCTCTTGCCTTTTTCTTTCTTCTGCTGAAAAAGACAAGCAGCAGTAAAGAGATTGTGTGCATCAATTGCATCTTTTGTGTTCATCCCCAGGCTTCAGTTTTTAAATACTCTTGGTAGAAAGTGAATTTGACTTATTGCAGCATACATGAAGTTTATCGTCTTGATGATAGAGTTACTTAATGAAAAATGTATATCGTAATTGAAATAGGCTTACCTAAGTGCCTAAAATGAAACTGTGAACAATTGTGCAATAATGAAAGCTGAGTCTGTTTTAATAAGTCAGCACATTTTATTGGGTTCTCTTTTTCCCCCTGGTATGCAGGAAAGAGTATTTTTTTCCCATTGTTTTCAAGCTAAGGAACACACTCTCCCTGCAGTTGTGTTTGGACACCCCCCCCCCCCGGTTTCAAGTGTTCAGAAAATTTATCAAAATGCATTTGTTTTGCCAGGCGTTTAATAGCTCAAATTATTTTATGGCTCAACTTATTGTTAGTTTTATTATATTGTTTTGTTTATGGTTATTATATTTTTTCCTTCTTCTTTTTTTTTGCCTCCTTACATATTTACCAGAGTGGAAGAGTTAGGTATTAAATTAGTTGATAACCTCTTACACTATAAGTCTAAAATACAAAGGGAGGGGGCAAGATTGAGTGCACAGGTACATGAGGTGTTTTGTGGGTGAAAGCAACATATCAACAATTATACTAAATAGGATGGCTTTACATTGCATTAAGCCATCATGTAACCTGATTCCAATTTAATGGTTTTATAAAACCATCCACTAGGATTGTACATAATTTCTTTCTTGGAATGAATTTACATATTATGTTAAGTCTAAAACAAACTGAATTACAATAACCACAAGAGTACTGTAAGTAAGAATTCCCTATGCTGATTAATGTGATAAAACTACTTTTTCCAGTTTGGGAAGAATTATAATATGACATGGCTGCTTGATCTGTTGTTGTTTGCATTTTTCTACTGATAATAAAATAAGCAAAAAGGTCTTCACACTAGCTTCTCCTGATTTGTATATTATTACAAACGTGCAGATAGGAGGGCTGTATTATTTAGATAAACAGTTGGTGAAGTTATTTGTTAAGAAAACTTGAATTAATCCTAGATAGAAGAAAATTACAATTCCTTTACAGTGTATTGCATAATTTTTTTTTTAAAAGGGGAGACATTTTTTTCAATCTTTCTAGTTAAAAAAAAGCTTCATATTAAATTATTAGTAGTTATACCTAAGGACTAGATAATCAGAATGTAGTATGCTCTTTTCTTGTCTTATTCAACATTTATATTCACCTCGCAATGTATGATATATTTTTATTTGATCAGGTAGACCAACATGGTCTGTGTCAAAAAAAGCTTTTAAAATTTGTTATCCTAGCAGTTGGTTCTGTTGTCTTTGCATAGTATGCATATGGAAGAAATGCTTTTACAGCTGTGAGGTATTTTTATGTCTAACTCCTATCCCTCACTCCTAATAATAAGAATATAAGAATATTCTCTTAATACCTAATGATAAAGAAAGCCTTGGCATGGTATTAAAAAGTAAAATATTAATTATTGAAATGATTGACAAAGCTGTTAAGTCTTCATCAGTTTAGCATAATTTTAAAGACTTTTGAAATGACCATTTCTTTCTTTTGATTTCATTTTAAAAATAATATGAACCTAGGCATGACTGCATTAGTATAAATCTGTGCACTATGAATGCTAAATGTGTAATAAAGGGAAAGCTAAGAAACTCCTGAATAACTTAATTAGAAATTTCATCTTGAAATCTGTGTGGAAATACCTTCCTAAATTCTGTTTAAATTAATCCAGTTACAACTACTATGAAGATCATGCAAATATTAAGACAAGCATTCAGAAGCACATGCTGTATAACTTCAGATGTTAAATGGGATAAATGGTTCCATTTCAAAACTGGTGAAGTTTGCTTATCCACTGTCATCAAACAAACAAAATCATACACTCACTACATCTTAACTTTAGTAAATACACTTAGCAGAAATTGCAGTTGGATTCAGAATATTTTCTCATTTTCTCAGATTGGAAACAAGAGCAGAAAATTAATGCACTGAGCAACTGGTTCTTATTTTCTAATCCAATTTTGACCAACTTTATATAATTTGGTCCCAACATATTTGGAGGGTGCCAGATTGGGAAAGAGTACTATGGTTCCTATCTTGGCTTTTACTTTTAAAAGGTCGTTTTTCCTGTGCAATTGAAAGACTCCCAATGAGATCTAAATGAATAAATAGGAGAGTTTGTTTGGCATCATATTATTCACTTAAAGCATTAAGCGAAGAAATTGAGACGCAATATAAATATTAAGAATAGGCTTTATTTCCTCCTTTATCACTACACATACTTTTAAGTCAATCTGGATTGATACAAATTTAATTTTAATTAACACAGAATGACTTAAATTAAGGTTCATTTAATTCTTGGGTGGGAGGATTTCCAGTGATGTAACTTAATCAGAATCAATACAGTTTGTTCAGTATAAAAATATAATTTGCATTTTTTAATAATTAGCTGCAAAGAGCATAGTAAGCCTACATGGTCCTTTTTAATATCTATAAATGTTCTCCTTTAGGTTTTCAGTGATACAGGGATATAGGGGTATATTAAATGATAAATATTATATATAAATTAAATGATACAAGGATACTACACAGGGAAAGAACCAGCATTTTAAAATATATTATTGCTTCAGATTAATTTTTACAGAACCTCCTTAATTTCTTGCTTCTGAAAATTGAAAGTCTTCCAATTTGAAAGAAATCCTATCCTACTATTGTTGATGTAGACTTTAGGCACTGCCTGTTTGGTCAACAAGCAACAGTGGGTGGTCAGGCTGCAGCATGGGACAAGGGCCTGCTATGCACAAGAAAAAAATGTTCAAAGGTGTTTAAAGACAGTAAGAAAGTCTGCCACCCTTTAGAGAATCCAGCAGCTACAGATCAGTTTTTCTTCTTTGTGAATGCTCAGGATATGGTACACAAAGAGTAAATATTGTAATTTCTCCTAGGTATTAGGTAATTTATTAGGTAATTTAATTCTGTTAGAATGGAAATTTATTTTTCATTTATTTTATGGATAATTTTTCCATAAAAATCCTAGAACTCCATTACCTAACAATATGTTATCGAATACTGAAGTGGTATTTTCTTTTTATCTGATGGGTTTTTCCTCATTTAAATGAAGACATTCAAACCAGACCATCAAATAATGGAAACAAAATGTAATAACTACTCTTAATCAATGGTAAATAGTATCTCTTAATATTAAATCTTATTCATCAGCTCTCCTCAAGCACTTTAAACTGTCTCATTTCAGTGCTTGATAAGACATGCTTAATTTTAATGAAAAATGCAAGCTAAAAAGTTCTGGGGGGAAATGATTGTGCAATTCTTCTTTTAACACTAGAAGCACATGGTAAAACTACTTCTAATAAACATACATGATCACATACTTAGTAAATAGAGTCAAACTATATTTTGAAGATAGTGACAATGTTAATCACATATTTTTTTATTTGGGCCTATTACAATAAAAACCTATTGAACTCAGTCTACATATTACATTCAGAGATGTTATCATGTGTTTATTTTTTCAACACTGCTAACTTTCCATAGCGAATACTTCTACATTAGTTGAAAATTCCGATCTCAATAAATGTCATTGTAATAATATAAAAAAGTGTTAAAATGAATTATATCAAGGTTTCTATTCATATTTCTTAAAATCATCTTGATTAGTGCATTGTTTGTAGACATGGCATTCTTCTTAATTTTACATCTGTGCTCAATTATCTTAAGGTATCATGAATACATTTTTATATAAACATAGCAAGGTAGGAATATTCTACCCAGAGAGAATATCATACATTTTTGCATATATTATCATTGCCAAGGTTTTCCTTTTGTTTACGTCTAGAACATCTTGTAAGATTCATCCCAATAATCTCTTACAAATTAAAAAAAACATTTCAGCTATATTCAGTGCTTTAAAAATACCCCATTTTTACTTGTTTTGAGAAAAAGATGTTTGAGGACCGATTTGTGCAGCATTTGCTATATATAGTCCTGAAGCGCTATCTTCTGGACAACTTGGGGGGAAAAAAATCAGCTTTACTAATGTACTCCAGATGTTCATTAGTCCTCAGGGTATATGTGCTGTTATACTTCCCTGCTTCTGTGTTGTACTTTCTTGTAATGCTAGACAACCAATTAAGAAATTAGTTTCATGTTAAACTTTCTTTTCCTGATACCACTGCAAGCTGATGATGTGGTTTCTAGTGGAACAAGGGAGTATTCTTTGCCCTGTTTTCTGTTACTAATGAATAAACAAACCATGGGGGTTTTGTTTTTGGTTTTTACTGCCAGCATAGCCATTTACTGGATTCATACTCTCCTCCTGTTAATAGGACAAATTATTTCAAATGATTTTGAAGAAACAGTCAATTTTTGAATTGGTTTCTTTTCTGAAATTACTTGTATCTCTATATTAAACTTATTTATTTTTCAACTCTTAATCGTAACAAATAAACATAAGAAAGATGTTCATGTAATATACAAATGAAGTTTTATGAGGTGCACTAAACAACCATTAATTTTAAAATAAAAAATGTGCAATCTTGTTCTCTCATCTAAACTACTAGACTTCTTAGAAGCTTAATGAAAAAAAGCCTTTTTGAAAACTTCTGCTGAATTGTGTACCTTATTTTTAATGAGAATA